CTAATAATACAACAGTATTCCAAGTTATCACACGTGCAAAGCTTTGTTTAAGGAATTTTGTGTGTTAACTCTTACAGGATTATTAATATTTGAACTGCGTATATATATTTTTAAAAATCGAGCAACATTCAAAATGAATAGGGACATTCACTCAATTAATACGCGTCAAAATGGTGACTTCTGGATGCCCCTATATAAATTTAATATATCATGAAATTCTCCTATCTTTGTTTGAAGCTTTTCAATCATCTGCCAGAAGAACTAAAGCGAATCCAGTTTTTTAAAAGTTTTAAATGTAACTTAAAGTTATTTTTAGTAGACAGGTGTATTTATTCTGTAGATGAATTTCTGTCATGTTAGGTTAAGTAACATTGACTATTCCTATATATGTGTACACATGTCTTAAAGGAAAATTATTATTATCTGAAAGATCGTTAAATTTTTAGTAATTTTTGTAATATAAAGTTTTTCCCAATATTTACTTGTTTTCGAGACATGTTGACTTCAATATGCAATGTACGATGTAACAGGAAAATCTATTATTTTATTTAATTCACACTTACAAGACAAAATATTCTTTTAAAATATTGTTATTCACACCTGATACAAACTAACAAACAATAAATTACACTATTTTCATTGAAAAGATCTTTTTGATATGTCCTTGTAAGCAAATTTTCATATTTCAATTCTGACTACTTTTTGAGATAATCCTATTGGGCCCTCTTCGTAATACACCCTGCATATGTTTCTCGTTTCTCTAATTTTCTATCAAATGTCATTATGTTGCAAGTTAGACAGTTAATTTATAAATATTTGGAGATTCCACTTGCCATTTTAAATTTTTAAATTTTAAATAATATAAAATTTATTAATTTTAAATAAATTTCTATCACGCACGCTCGCTATGGGACCTATAGTGTAGGGGGTTAGGTGCACAGAAAGTGCTAGATAGTATAACAGCGTGATGTTATTTTCATAGCGCAACGCTCCAGCGTCCTGCGTGGCGCTATTGGCAACTTTTCCCCACTCGTTACACAATGTACTATTTTGTAATTCAACCGTTTCTTGATATAATTAAATATAAAAATACATCTATATTTGACATATCAATGAATTTTTCTTTCCTGCGAATGAAAAACCCTTCAAAAGTATCAAAATTGGCCCACTATATACAGGTTTCCAAGAGAATTTCAATTCATAGATTACACAAAGAAACATGAACAAGGTTGACAATATAAAAATAACAACAAACAGATATTAAACATAAAATATGTAAACAGTTAATCGTTATAACATGAATAAAATTAGTCCGGGCGAATTAGGTTTTCTTTCAAAAATCAAGCCTAACTCAAATTTTATGAGCATAAAATTAAGTAAAAAATATACAGAATAAAAGCCTAAATTTGTGTATTTGTAGAGGTTGAGCGTCATATTGTTTATAACAAAAGAAAAAATATATAATTGCTCTTTTTTCAGTTTTTCGCTTATATCCCCGAAAATAAGCCTATAATCAACATGAGGTATACTTATGAGCACGGTAAATAGAATACTGATCATTTTATTCAAGGAAATAATTGACTTTTGTTTTTAAATACGTAAAAAGACCTTCTTTCTTTTCGAAAACATAATGAAATTACAAAAAATGTGAAGTCAATAAAAATGTATTTTTCGGGGTTTAGCGATAACTTTTACAGAAAAAAATAAGTTGATTTAAAAAAATGGCATCCTCTAGCTGGTTTCTAAGTGCCACAATCAGAGGCGCAACAACCGGGGGTGCCCTGGGTGCCCGGGCACCCAGTGTCCTACATTGGGCACCCAGCGACTGGGTGCCCAGACCTCTTAGTCGCATACATGTCTAGAACCAAATATTTCAATATACAAAATAATAAAAATATCTATTAATCAAATACCCAAAAAAAAGGTAATGCTAAATCGACAATACATTTATACACAAAAAAATCATAAACTTAATACACTAATATATACCCTAGAAGCACCAGTGTTCAGTTCACTTGCTCTCCTCTCGCAGCGATGCACTGGACGGACTTCCAGGAATTGAGGGGAGCGCCCGCGCTGCCCCTCGGCGTACGAAGTCGCAGAAAACTCATTCGCGGAAAATCAACGGACATTCGGTAAGTCGCGTGCTGCGCGTTCGTGGCTTTTCGTGATACGGAAGGTCAGTACAGAATCTACGAATCTAGTAGTCGGCTAGTGAGCTGTGAGCTGTCCACCAGCAGAGGCGCGTTTCCTTCCCGCTTGAACGTTCAGCAGTTTGGTGCAATATTATTAGTATGAGTTTAATTGAATGGTTAAAACGTGGAGATAAGCGGAGACGTTTAGATTCGCCAGTCAGGTCGAATGCGTGTGAAGATGTCAATCCAACATCGTCTGCTGCAACAGTTGCAATAGAAGCAGTGGATGAGAGTAATTATATTTTTTATCAAAGCTCATTTTCTTATATATATTTTACTTGTCTGAATATACGAAAATCTTAAATGTTGATAAACACGTAGGTTGTTTGTTTAATTTTAGACTCTGACCAATCAAATACTGAGGACAATGCTATTAGGCCGCCAAAACTACCGTCTCAAAAAATAGGAAAGAAAACTCGTTGTTTCCAAGAACATTGGCGTAAAGAATTTCCATGGATCGTTCAGAAAGAAGGAGTTGGAGTACTCTGCAAAATTTGCATGGAATCGACAGGTAAAATAGACGAGCTGAAAAATTCATTTTATAAGACGGGTTTTTCTTCGTGGCACAAAGCCTTAGAAAAATTTAGAGCTCACGAAAGACATAAAGACCATGTATTTGCTCTAGCAAATAAAATACACGCAGGAAAAAGCCTTCCTATTGAAGCTCAGTTGAGTTCGCAGATAGCTTCAGACCAAGAAAAAGCACGAAATGGTCTTATTCAAATTTTCTCTGCTGTTAAATATTTGGCTAGACAAAATCTGGCAATAAGAGGGCATGAAGATAGCGAAAGCAACAGTATTCAGTTGCTCGATGTTTTGAAGGCTCAAAATTTAGATTTGAAAGAATGGCTTAATAAGAAAAAATCGTGGACAAGTTGGAAAATTCAAAATGAAATTCTCGATCTCATGAGTAGGAAAATTCTAGAGAAGCTTTGCCAAGAAATACGAGAATCAGAATGCTTCGCTTTGATTGTGGATGGTACACAGGATATCTCTGGTACAGACCAACACTCTATCTGCATACGATTTACTGATGAGCATCTACAAGCGCGAGAAGAATTTTTAGGGTTCTACGAAGTAAAAGAGACGACTGGCCAAGAGATTGTCGATGTCATTTTAAAAGTTTTAAAAAAACTTGAACTTCCGACAGATAGTTTACGTTGGCAAACGTATGATGGTGCAGCAAATATGTCCGGCATTTATAAAGCCGTTCAAGCAATTATAAAAGAGTCGCAGCCTCTCTCTGATTACGTCCACTCCACTGCGCATGCCTCTAATTTAGCTGCACAGACAGTAGCCAGTAGCAGTCCCTTATCGTCATCGGCGTTAGATGCAGTTAATGAATTGGGAAATTTGGTCTCGAGAAGTGGCAAGTTAAAAACTATTATGAAAGATATTACATCTTCTTCAAGTGATCCACAACTTAAATTAATTAAACCGTTATGTCCGACACGTTGGCTGGCGAGAGTAAATCCAGCCTGCGCTACACTATCACAGCTTCAAGTTGTTCTTGATTCTCTCGAAGCAATAAAAAAAGACAATGTGACGGCAGCAGGATTAATTGAAAAATTAACAAAAGGAAACACTGTACTTGGATTATTGATGTCTATTGATATTTTTTCACAATTGGAAATTTTAAATAAGACGTTGCAGGGCAAGTATGAGACCGTTTCAGGGGCACTCAAAGCTACAGAGTTAGTTATTAAGGGCTTGGAAGAAAAACGCACAGATACATCATTCCAAAAAATTTTCTCAGATGCGGATAAATTGATCGAGGATTTGAATTTAGAACCCATATCACAGCCTAGACAACGCTGCCCACCTAAACGACTGACAGGAAATGCAGAAAATTATTTTGATTCGTCACCTATTGAGTATTATAAAAGGCAGTATTTTTCTATGATTGACACTACGACGACACAACTGAAAGATAGAATTTATCAAAAAGGAATGGATCATCTAATTTGCCTTGAGAAGGTTCTTTTAAGCGGGGAGGTTGATGATTCTATAAAACGCTATAAAGAATTCAATCATGATAAATTAAAAATACAATTAAAACTATTCAAGACACAATTTGAATATAAAACATTGAAGGAAGCTACAGAGAAAATGAGAGAAGCAACGATAGAAGTAAGTAATCTTTAATAGTTAGACTAGTGTCGTATCATAGCATAAAAATGATTCTGACTACATAAAAAATATTTCTTACATGTTTTCAGGTGCGCCAAATGTTTAGAGAAGTAGAAAGATTGATAAAGCTTTTAATAACCTGTCCTGCATCATCTTGTGAAGCTGAAAGAAGTTTCAGCGCGCTGCGCAGATTGAAAACTTATCTCCGCAGTACTATGCTGCAAAGTCGATTAAATAGCTTAACTGAATATCGTCTCTTTATGTGTAGAATTTATTGGGTCCGGGTCCAATGATTATCGGAAAACAATATTTGGGAAATTTTCCAAGTGATATAAACATAACTTTAAGGTCATTTTGTGATTGTAGGTTATATTAAATAGTATATTTAAATTGATATAATAGTTGCATATTAGAATTATCAGTAAGTTTGTAAGAATAAATATTATTATTTATTGAAAAAATGATTAATTTCATTTTNAGACTTTTGCTTACATCATTCGAAAGAGCGGAAAAATAAGTTGATTTAAAAAAAAAGCAACCCGGTACCTGCTTTCTAAGAGCCACAATCCATTTGTTAAGCAAGAATTTTGAGAAGACCAGCGCAGCATGAGCACTATGATGTCACAGCGCTCCCCTCTCCTGGCTACCGCTCAACCGCGTGGGCCCCCGCGCGTGTCGTTCCGTCTTTTAACGAACGATTACATGATCATTTCTTGGTTGAATGCATTAAAAAAATTCAGCATATAAAAGAAGTCTTCTACTTTACAAGTTTATAACAAAATATTAAATAGAACAGCCAGAATACCGTTTTTAAAAAAAAAATTTAGATAATAAAATTTGTTTGAAAAACTGTAGTTTCTATTGTAAAACAAAAAGAAATTGCAATTATTATAATGCAGTTAGCTCCAAAATTTCATAAGAGTAATGCTTTCTCAAAAATATGTTGTTTTAACAAGGTTAAAAAAGCTATAGTGGTTGAAGTTACACTGTAAGAAAGGAGTTTATGCCCATCTATGACAAATTGAAATGTTTTGTAATAATAAACGTAATTTTTATTTTTTTTTTTATTATTTAAAGGTCTACATAAACATCTCAGAAATGGTACATATTTGGAACAAGATTTAATGTTTGTGCACTTCTTGATGGTACACCCAGTATATTTTATTACTGTTCTATTCCTATCCCTAGGCACTGACTGCATGAGTTCTCATAAAACTGTATCTAATAAGAGCATTAGGATTAACCGCCTTGTTCTATATACCAAAAAAAAAAAACAAAAGTGTTTTAGTGACAAAAAGATCAATAAAAGAGATACCTACCAATATTAAAATAATCACAATTGCTTTTAATATAAAAGAAAATTGCACTTGAAAAGGTAAAAGAAAATTATTTCTTACCACACAATAAATTGTTAAATTAAAAAATATAAATAAAAATATAACTATACATAGTGACTTATATACTGAGAAAACTTGGGATCATTACATTTAGTTTAATATTTCAATTAATTATGAAATTTTAAGTAATAAAGAATTCAAAGCAAGGGCTCCAGATTCTTTGGTACTCCATTCAACAAATTCAGTCTCCCTGGATACAGAATACGCACCAGGTTTTACAAATATTTGAAAAGCTGCAAAAACTTCCTTATGATTTTCTAATTTGAATCCTTTCTGAGTACCAGACTGCAATGTTGGATAGAAAATTACCTGTACATCATCCCCTTTTTGTCCTGTGAAATTGCACCATTCTGATTGACCTTGTAATAAAAAATTTAAAATTATATTCTAAGAAAATTTACAAGATATACACACCTTTAGTTAAAAGCTGTCCCCTATCTAATATGCATCTAATGGCACCCAGTTTTGTAAAATAGAATGCAGTTTGCCACTTATCTGTTGAAATGTTGGCTACATTTTTTAAAGGAAATTTGACCCATCCTAAAAAATGTTAAATTATAAACTATGTATTGCGTTAAGTGATAAAATATTTACCTAATAAATAATTGTCTTTTTCTGTTTCAGAGCATTTTACTTTGTAGCAATTTTGGCAAAAACAGATATGTTCATCCGCGATAAAATAGTTGTCTGAAAAAAAAGTTACTTATGTAACAAGAAGTGTGTAAAATAATATGAATGAATTAAAAAATAAACAATTTATTTTTTGCACTGGTGTAAGTATCTTATTTTATGCATTGGTGTCTAAAATGAACTAAGACAGTATCATCGACTATTTTCTTGCTTTATTTTTGATATACATAATTGACTTTAGTTTTAAGGTATTCCAAATTAAAAATCTATTACAACATATACACTGCCTTCATAAATGACAGTAGCGGCTCGTGGGTTTGACTACAGGAAGGGCGCATTTTAAAGAGAGGCAGTATATGTGTGGACTTGTGGTAGTTCCCGGTCTAGCGTCTCAGGTGAAAAATTTTCAGGTATTTCAAGGTCATTGAGTTTTGTAAGTACCCCAAAATGTATAAGAACAAAGAATCACCACACTTAAGTGAAACGGGTTACTGCCACATGCAGTCCAAAACAAAGCATGTGAGCCTATCGTTATCCATCCCCTCCCCATGCCAATTTGTCGCATCATATGTAGAAATATGCTTGCATGATAGACTCAGATTTCAGCGTCCACAATGGAGTGGGGATTGCACGGTCAAAGATAACTCTTTGGTATGATCATAGATGGCATTAAGCTGAGCCACGTTCACGGGGTTGGTGCACTTTATGCAACCAATCTAACATCCAAGGCATAGTGATTTGCATGCTATTTAGATTTTTTTATTGATTTAAGGAAATAAATTATTTTAAGTTTACAGTTTGAAAATATTTGGAGGGGCGGAGTCCCAGAGTCCTCCTTCATGAGCCGCCACTGATAAATGATTACAAACCACATGACCAGTAACTTTATTTCCTTCATGTTGACAATTAAATTCCGGTAAAATTAAAAATTATTAAAACAGTAAGATAAGATTACATTAAAACACAACATTATGTTTCACCGACTGTGATTGGTGTAATTTTTCAATTCAATAAATCAACCAATCAGCGATCGCATTATCTTGAGCGTAGGCGTAACAGTTTGTCATTGTTCATTGTAAACAAATCATTAACATTGGTAATAGCCAAGATTTAGGGAATTTTCATTACCAGTACCAGTCGTGCAATGTTGGGTTTCCTAACCTCACGTGGCTTGTAAACATTTATAAAAGCTCTGCACAATATTGATGAGTTTTTGCAGTATGATATCGGTGCAATATTTTAGAAGCACCATTCACATATTGCATTGAAGCAGATCAGTAAAAAAGCAGATATTTCATGTTAAGCAGTGATAATTTTTTACTTTATTATGGAAAGTAAAGTAAAGTAAAAAAAAAATTGGCATGCAAAAATCATGTTCCTGATGTTATTTAATTTGTTTTTTTTTATTGAATATTTTTGGTTTTATTGTAACGTCTGTTTAATTTTTTATACAATGTTTCTTAAAATCTGTTTTTTTGCAAAAAATGTTTTAATTTGTTGTTTGCCTATTGGAATGTTTATATAATTTTTAGTTTAAACAGTATTAAAAATATTTTTTCAGAGCTGCAGCATATTTACTGGTGCCAAAAACTGTTTTTTTTTTAAACATTTCATTATAGGTAAATCATAAGTCTTTTCTTTAAATTCACATTAAAGGTTTTCATATTTACCCATAAATTAAGCAATTAAATCATCATTTTTCACTAACAAAGTTTCTGAATATTTACTCTGCGTCTTTAAACACTAATCACCAGAAAACTTTTGAAAAACACCTTTTAATGACACTAAAGATCGCAAATAATAACAGTGTTTGCCCTCAGTGGCATATTGGATCACGTGGTTTAGAATGCCTAATTAAATAGTTATATAACCTCAGGGTTAATTCAGAAAATTTTTTTTCAATTATGCATTTTTTTAAAATTTAGTATACGATCATGTACTAGCATCAAAGCTCTAAAGGGCTTATGGTCCTTATTGATTTTTTTTCAGTTTTTCAAAAAATGAAACTAATTAATATAAGGTGCGTTTTGTTGGATCAATCCCGGATTTTTTGGATTCTTTAGAATTACATTAGACAGATGCCGAATATCAACGGGCCAATGCTACACCAGCTACCTAAGTAACCTCACAAATTTGATCTCCCCACCACTTAATTCTAATAATTCTGTCTCAAACCACAGAAGCAAAAGTTGCAACCGCATTCAGAATATCCTTGCAATAAAACGCCCATTCTGCATAATTCAATTCCGGAATCAATCCAACAAAACGCACCTACATGCAAAAATCTTACAAAAGGCCCTATTTTAATTAATTAATTTAATTTAATGTTTCTAGGCTCTCTTAAAAACAGTTTTTCAAAAAATTAAACCAATTAATATGTGCAAAAATCTTACAAAAGGCCCTATTTTCCAAATCTATAAAATTAATAATTTCACAGAAAAAATAAATTTAATGGTTCGAGGCTCTCTTAAAATCAGTTACAATTTACTGAAATCTCCATATATCTTTTTTTTTATTCAGAATAAACCAGCTCTGAGATCTGAATAAAAACCGGCCGTCACTAAAAGGTAATAAAATATTCTTCTTTCTATAAGTCACTATAACTATAATTTTACACAGGATATCTTTCACAATTTATAAAAAATATATAATCAACCAGTTTATATTTACATTACATTATAATTTACCCAATGACACAAAACTATGCCAAATTATCTCTAATTACATTATTGAATTACAAAAACTGTGAAATTTAAAAGAATAATTTCTCTGGATTTGTATGAAAAACATTCTTACAAAATACTGTCGTGAAATATTATAAGAATTTTTTTTTCGAAACAGTTACTGTTATCGACTTGGAACAAATGAACCTTTTTGTAAGTTCTTTAATGACCTTTAAAATTCAGTTGTTTAATTTTTATTAAAACCACAAACAAAAAAGTTACCTATACTCAGTTTTGTAGGAACTATTTACAGCTTTTATAACTTCAGAATATTGGTTTTTATATCACATATATATTCTGTTGATAACAATAAATGTGTACTTAAATTAAACCTAAAAAAATGGAGAAATATAAAAAATATATCTTTGAGGTTGTCATGCCATCAAGATTGAGTTTTAAAAAAGGAGTCATGGAAACAGCGCCATAATTTTTATGAGTAGAATCATCCCTTCATTTTTTTTACTCATAGTTTTTGTAAATGAAAAAGTTGGATTTTACATATCTATATTATACAAAATGTGCATAAAATTTATATTTTAAATGTAGTAGCAAAAACAATCAAGTAATGACAAATTTAGATCAATAACTCTTTAAATACCTGGCAACAATAGCTTCTTTTTGAAATTATCACATTCATCCTTGTAAGAGCAACATTTCATTGGGCTATTATTATCAGAAGTTCTTACACAAGTGGAATTTGTCATACTTGTGCTAGCAGATGGAATGGGTAAAGATAATTTTGTCTCAGACCTTTCCTTCTCACATGATTCTAAATCGGCCTTCTCACAATCTGTACTGGTCGTTGGTGTACTTTCGTCTCTGTTAGCCTCATTCAAAATTCTTACCTAAAAATCTGCACATATATGAACATTTCATTAATAAATATCAAATTATTAAACCTGTTGACATTGTCCATAGAGATCAAACACAGCATATATTTGTTGACCAGATGGAATACTCCAATGCAAGACTTCCTCTCCTTCACTGTTTATTAATAATTTCAAACACTGTGTGTCTGTTAAAGCTAACCCCACAGTATCTCCCACTGCCAGTGAACAGAGCCGTTGGCCATAATTGGAACGTGACTAAAAAGATAATGTATTTAATACTCATAAAATATTTGCATACTAAAATTAATGGCTACCTTCACTCCATTGATAGATATCCAATCTTCAGCTACAATACAACTAGGAGCTTTCATCGAAAGCGCATTAACAGGCAAATTTAATCTATCGAGAGGCCCAACAGTCAACCCAACTATTAAAGAAGATTGCCAATGTGTTTCCAATTGTTCTATTACAACTTGAACCACTGAATTACAATCAAGGGATTGTTGGATCAGAACTATGCCTTGATTGTAGGAGGCCACTCTATGTGCAACTGTTTTATTACTGATAAGCTCAATATTTCGCCCGTGATTATCATGAAACTCATACGTAACAGAGCAGTCTTTTACTTCATTTATTCCATCTTTACAGTCAACCAATTCTGGTGCTTGCTCTTGGTCCAGCACTAGCTCTAAGCTGTCTTGCAGTCTTATGCTGTTTAAAGGTGATAAAGGAGCTTTATGACTTGTTACAGCTATTTCGCAACAAGAACCTCTCAAATCAAATATTGCATATACTGAATCTGCTAAAGGTGGGAAATTTATAGACAGTTCTTCCCCGTTGATGAATACCTTTATGTTTCCTTCATGTGTTTTCAGTAGTCCTATCCTATCTTCGCAATTTAACCAGTTCAAACTAGGCGTGAAAAACTGTACTATTTTGTTTTTATGACGTAGTTCATTTCCTTAAAAACATTAACAAATGAAACATTGGAATCCTAATTACTCCTACATAACATATTCAGTATGTCCATTTAGTGAAAAAAGGCAACAAAAATTTGTGATGTGGTCAGTTTTAAAGTGTACCTACACCATTAGTATCTTTTAAACTAGAAAGTTGCACATTTTCATGCCATTTCGGATTATGCAGAGAAATTGGAAATAAGTTGCACCAATCCTGAAATAAGCTGAAAACTTGATAACTTGGCCTTTCTTATTTCTTCCGTATCTTATTTATTATTTAAGTAGGGTAATGAAAATCGATATGTATCAATAAGGCGACATACTCTATCTGTTGGAAGGTTAAAACATCTTTCATAATCAACTTTTCTTCATAACCTACATTTCATTTTCTTATGGATTTTTGCACCATTGGATTAAATTATTAAATTTCAAATTATTATTAAATTATGAAATTCCAAAGTTCAAGGATGTATAATGTTTGAGTGAAAGGAATTTTATTAAGGGACAAAAAAGGTTATTATTTGTTTAATTCAATTGTCATTGTCATGAGAAAACAAATGAAAATTTTTACATTTCTATTTAAAAGTAAATTAACTATCATTTACTGCTGTACGACTGTTTTTATTATTTGTCTCTAATGAGACAATATTTAATAACTGAAAAGACAGATATGTACAATGTTTTCATACAATGTAACAAAAATTCAGTGGCTGCATGTTATGAATAGATAGGTACATTCATAGAGAAGGCAACCAAATAAGAATATTTTCCAATGTTTATAGGTACAGACAGTTACAAGAATATGGTACTTTAAAAATGTGAGAAATTGTGTTGGTAATGGAACCGCAAATGAAAAATAAATGTTTTGGCACAAATTAACATACATCCAATGATACTCGAAGAGACAAGTGGAATTAGAACGTAATTTATCTGTCAGGCGTTCAAAAAATTTTAAGAATACAAGTATCATGGATTCTGGATTCTGGAATTGAGGGGAGGGTAGCAAAGCTACAGCACTTAGGCCCTATTGGGCCCCTTGTACATCCTCCCATTAGAGAGATGAATCCACCTGAGCCGCCAACCAGCCTATTACAGTGAAAAAGGTGGTGACGTTGCTCAGGGGGGTCTCTCTAATATAGGCCATTGAAGGCCAGCGTTCTCCCAACATGGACTCTCTTGTTGACGAGACGGCAGTTCATTCACATAGTAAATGCAACACCGTCTCGTCTTCCTGTTCACAGCCCCTACAAAGAGGTGTTTCACACTTCCCCATATTGTAAAGGTGTTTCCTTAGCCAACAGTGTCCAGTTTGAATACCTGTCACCAGGCGAAGATTTGACCTAGACATAGCCAGGTATTTTTTGGCTGTGTCTTTGCTAGGATACGCTAAGAACTCCTTAGCAAAGTGACAGCTGATTGTTTCATCCCACCGTTTCATAAATTCTTTGTGGGTGTCTTCCTTGATAATTCCAACAAGTGCCGACAACGGAAGCACACTGGAGGGGCCGGGTCCAAAAATGTTGAGGCCCGATGCGCTCCTGGCTAGCTTGTCAGCTTCTTTATTGCCATAGCACTGTTCGTGTCCCTTTACCCAGCATACAGATATGCTGTTAGCGGCCGAGGCCACAACTAGTGCTTCATGGCATTCCCATACTGTCCTAGTCATTATCTTATGATTACGCAAGGTCAGTAGTGCTTGTCTACTATCCGTGTAGATTCTAATGGTTTTGCCCGTAGTATGCCTGCGGGTAATTTCCTTCGTGGCTATGGTTATGCCTGCTAACTCCGTTTGCACAACGGTAGCATGCCTATCCATTGCCCACTGATATCGGATGTGCAAGGATCTAGAGTATATTCCACATCCTGCACCCTTCTTCCTTTTTGATCCGTCTGCGAAGATGCTAATTACATCTCCACGGGCGGTCTCCTCCTGTCTCTTAATGAGTACGGTGTAGGGTTTGTCAAATGCAAACCGGGGAGAAATACTGTCAGTGTCTGCCTGCAGGAGGAGCGTCTTCCTGATGACCTCATTCCACAGGCGACTTCTGACTTCTCCACATCCTACAACCGGTGTTAAGCCAACGTTCTCGAGGCGAAGCATAGTTGTCAAAGCCATTTCTCTTAGATAAATATCTAGAGGTGGCAGACACAGCATTACCTCCATTGCTATGGTAGGTGTTGTACGCATAGCTCCAGTTATGCTCAGACAGGCAACCCTTTGTACTTGGCTGAGCTTTTGTTTAGCTGTCATGTTACAAGTATCATGATTTTAAATTTAAACCATTGCAAACATTGCATCCTGAAGACAGCCAACGAAGTGTGAATGGTTTCGTAACGAATTGAATATGGGAAATAAGGCCACAAATTCAGTGCGACCTTTTCCAAGACCATTTACTATGTTCTTACTTTATTCCACAACAGTTAACTGGTGATCCATATTTTAACTTTCTACGAAATGATTTTAAAGAAATTTTAAACAAGTTGGCTTTTGGCCATCAAGGTCGCCTTGTTTAAATTCCTCGGATTTTTTCTCTGGGGATTTGCAAAGAATATGACTTATGATAGACAGGTGCAGTGTATCCAACAATTGCAAGATAAAATAACAAATTCAATTCCATCGGAAACAATTAAAAAAAATCAGTAAGAAAGATGACTCGAAGAATTTATGTAATTTATATTTGTTTCTTGCTATCAATTATTAATTTATTGACTATTTTTCAAATAAAACATAAAAATGTCTTGCTTTTCACTTATTAAATATTATGCCATTACAAATAAATAATAAAAACACTTATACACTTATTTACACTAGTAAACAATAGTTTGTTTACTTTTACAACAGAAATGTCAAAATTTTTCGTAGCTACTGCGATAACACTGAATAAATCATAGAATTGAAATTTTATTTTTTTTGGCTTTTAATATAATCTCTTCAACCAAGCATGGAACTCGAAATTTAATGCTACTTCTAATGGTGTAAAAATCCCATATGGTGTCCATAAGAAAATGAAAAGTTGGTTATAAAACATAAGAATCTAGGAGGCCTGGAAGATATTTTAACCTTCCAATAGACAGAGTATATCGCCTTATGTGTATATACCAATTTTCATTACTCTACTTATAATAATAAATAAGATATGGAACAAATAAGAAAAGTCAAGTTTTCAGTTTTTCTCAACTTATTTTAGAAACGGTGAAACTTGTCTCCAATTTCTCTTCATAATCCAAAATGGCATAGAAATATGCAACTTTTTCGTAATTTAATCAATCCTGTATATCTTCTAGTTCAGGAGATACTAATGGTGTACACCTAAAAAATGACCACCCTATATCTACGATTATCGCAAAAAAGTGGGTCACATAAATGGTAAATTTCTGGTTGCAATTAAAACCTTCTATGTTACCATTGGCGGCTCACCAGGTGACGCAAATGACGCACCGTTTCACCTAAAATTTCCGTTTGGTAGTGCAATTTAAAATTATTTTGATTTTATATAAATTTTATAATTTAGGTATAATTCTATTTTGAAAATGTATTGTGTTTGTTTGTTTTATACGCAGAAATAAACAGAATAGTTGCGCAGTGATCGCCTTCTAAAAAAACATTGCCTTCGTTGAGCATGAACATCAACCTAATACTATACAATGTATAGTATAAGCAAGTGACGCGGATCGAAATCAGTATATATTCCTCTTTTCTTCGTAGGATTGTTTATGGCGGTTGTCACGTCAACTAGGCGGCCAACACATGAGAAAACTACGGCATGGGGGAATGACTGAGATCCAAATTGAAGCAGCATTGTAATCGCCCATCGCCTGCCATTAAACAGTTTATACGATACGTTGTCGTCCAGTGCACGATTATAACGGTTCTTTGTTAATATTTGTTTTGCATCAATAATTGTAGAAATGTTTCCTATGCATGATCGAGTATGTATTTTATTGGAAAAGCCATTTTCCAGGTGGAAAATATAGGACAAATGGGATTTTTTAAATTGCGAGAGACCTGTGTCTCCTCTCAATGTGGAAAAAAGGGGGAAGTCAAAAGACAAAGTGTACATTCGGAAGTTTCGGAATGAATGGTATTCGGAGTATAAGTGTTTGTGTGGAAGTGTTTATTTAAAAAAACTTTTCTGTATACAGTGTTTAATTGTGGGTGTAAAGTCGGGCCTGTGGAATAAGAAGGGATCTAACAATTTTGGGAACGTCACGCGATGCTGTTGTAACCACAAAGCTTCTTTGGAACATATAAGGTGTGCGTTAATGTTCACAGAAGTCCACGAGCAGAACTAATATTTCTATTTTTTATAAAATCTAAATGAAAATCCTTCTCGCGAACGTCAGTTTTACGGTAATATTGCAAATGCAACTAAAAATTTTCAGATTATTTAAAGCCATTTGACATTGAAAACAATAACATGACAAGTCCATAAAAATTTTCCCTAGAGGGCCCCCCTATAGACGGAGAGATTGGTGTCAAAATCCCCTGTGATCGGACTAATGGCCGACTTTGTTTTTAATGTGTTAGTCATATGTTGAATAATAGGGTCTCAGAGTTTGCTGACACACCTTGTGGGGCAGACGTTGGGGGTGCGGGGGTAAATACGAAAATCGACCCGTGATCAGATTAATGTCAGCAATTCATAAAATATATTCAAGGCCTTTGGGAGAATACGAAAATGAAAGTAACTGACAGCCTAGTTGGGGTAGGGGCGTTTAAAACTGGATAAAATGTACCACTTACCGAGTGCACAAACTGCATACGGGAAATGCGTATATCTCGATTGCTCCTTCCTTATTGTTGTTGTTGTTGTCGTTATTATTATTATTATTATTATTATTATTATTATTAAATAAAATTCAATTTTTTATTTTATTTCTGTGATTTTTTAATAATTTTTAATATTTTAATATTTTGCGAAATAATTGAGTAAATAAAAAGTCAACCTCGTAAATAAAAAGAAAATGATTTCAAATAAAGGTAATGAGAAAAATTTATGTT